GAGAGAGAGAGAGAGAGAGAGAGAGAGAGAGAGAGAGAGAGAGAGAGAGAGAGAGAGAGTTGGAAATGTTGGCAAGGTAGCTTGATGTGGTGTATCTGATGGGGGACGGGGGGAGTGGATGGAATCTGACAGATGGTGCATGAATGATGTGGACGCTACTTTGTGCAGAGCTGCAACCATTCAACGGTCCTCGGCAACCATACCATTCACCCGAACAGCTTTTCTATGGCTTCCCACCATTCAATGGTCCTCCACCACAGCAACAGCAGCAATCGAACCTTGCATCTCCTCTCCCTCCTCTTTCTCCTCCCAATGCACCGTTTTCATCGCCAGTACCCCGACGAGCAAGCAGTTTGGGACTCGGATCTGCGTCAGCAGGATTGCTTTCTGCCGACCCCTCCCTGCCCTCAGGTGTCCGGCCATCGTCCAGTCCTGGTGTGTCGTTGGCAGCAGGTTCTTCTGCTTCTGGGTCTGGTCCGGTTGTAGGAGGCAGCAGCAGCAGCAACTTGTCGACGCCCATGGTTTCACCCGCGTCAAGCTCAGCAAACGTGGAAGGAAAGCAGTCCCAAACCTTGTCATCATTGCCGGCTACGAGGACTGTGCCGGACCTCAGGGCAGGTACGGCCGCCACAGGGGTGGACAGCCCCGCTGCGCCTTTGGCAGGGCACAGATTCGTGGCTCAGCAACAAACAACCTCCAGTCGAAGAGAGGGAGGATTAGGAGGAGGAGCAGGAGGCAGTGGTGGTGGTGGTCCTGCGAGCAGAGTAACTGTTGAGATGAGTGTCGCCCTCCAGACTGACAGTCAGCTGGCCCACGGCTGCCTTGAGCAATCTCAAAGTCAAAGCCGCCGACCAGTCGGTGGCTTGGGGAGGGGTTATTCAGAAGGGGGATTTAATATGTTTGCTTATGGGGATTGCCCGTTCGACGAAGCAGAGGATGACGGGCTACAACAGGTATACGCGCAGCACGTGATTGCTCCCGGACCATCAAGCGCAAGCTTTCATGACCCAGGTGCAGTCCGGGGATCTGCCGTAGTTCCCATGCCCATGCCCTCCGCTATTCCCGAAGAACAGTGCCATGCCAGTGCGGCTGTCGCAGGATCTGGGCAACTGCCAGAGGAAACATGGAGCCCTCCAGGAATCGTTAGAGGTAGGGGAGGGGGTGGAGGTGGAGGTGGAGGTGGAGGTGGAAGTGGAGGTGGAAGTGGAGGTGGAGAGGGAGGAGCGGGCACTGGAGTAGAACCACAAGTGGAAGAGCGCATTGGCACGTCAGCCATAGGGAGCGATTCCAAGGGCGGTGGGTTGGCTGCTGCCAAGGCGTCAACATCGGCATCCGGATCTCATCTCGTTTATCAGCAGGGGGAGCAGCTAGAGGCCGGTGTTGATCAGAGGGCTGGGTCGTCAGTAGCGGGAGCACCAGCAACAGTTGCAAGTGGAAGCCGAGGACAGGGAGGAGGAGGAGGAGGAGGAGGAGCGTCTGTGGGAAGAGTGCAGAAGAAGGCGGAAAAAGAAGGATTTGGAAGAGGGGGGGGGAGGGGAGGGGGAGGGGGAGGGGGAGGAATCGGCACTCAACAAGGCGTTTTGACTGTGCCATTCTTTCGGTTTTCCTCGCCGACCGGGGCAGCTGGCCGGGGCAAGTAGTCCTAACTGAGGAGAAGGAGAGTAGAGGTATGGAGACATCATCAGGTATGTGGGAGGGTTTAGCTGGAGAAGGGGAGAAGGTATGGGCACCATTGGGTGGCGGTGCGTTGAGGAGGAGCTGAAGGTGAAAATCGGTGAAGCCTCGAACGCTTGCAACTGGGAGGAAGCTACAAATAACTAGAAATCAAGTAGAACAGAGAGCCGTATTGAAGGTGTCTACCTCGTACGGTGGGGAGAGGACTCGAGCACCGCTGGCACAATCAAGGAGATCCCTGTAAGGTATAGGTCAATCAGACGACGACTAGTAGGAGGGGTTGCAGCAGAGAAGGGTGCTGAGGGTAGCACTCCCCGAACAAATGGTGTTCTGGAGAAAGGGTAGGGGAGCGAGCTTACTTGGAAACCACTCATAACTTTGACGCCTGTCATGAGGAGCACCAATTTTGTGTATCAACTGTCCCCACAATTACAACTGACCTTGGATTGTGTGTTTACCTCTCTCTCTCTCTCTCCTCCCCACCACCGTCTCTCTCTCTCTCTCTCTCTCTCTCTCTCTCTCTCTCTCTCTCTCTCTCTCTCCTCCCCACAACCATGAGCAGTAGGTGACAGACATTCCAAGTCCAAGTCAGCAGCTTACCTTACAGACCATGGTTGAAACATCAGCCTGGATTCCGAAGAAAACGTCATGCAGTATTGCATTGCCTGTCATAGGGGCAAAAGTGTGGTCACCGTGGCGCCAAGTCCTGAAACATCTTTGAGAAGATATCATCAGTGATATTATGACTGACTACCATTTTGGGGGGGGGAGAGAGAGAGAGAGAGAGAGAGAGAGAGAGAGAGAGAGAGAGAGAGAGAGAAGAGACAAAATCAGGGTGCGGTGAATTATATTTTCGTTTTACTAGGCTTTTAGAAATTGATTTTTATTTCTTTTAGGAAGCTTCAGTTATTCCTATCTGCGCAGTATAGTGCTGTAGGTCATTCTTGGTGCTCGCCGAGCACACCACTCACACTCATGTATGTTGGTTTTTATATTTTCTTTGTTCGTGAAACTTTACTTTCTCCGTCTCACTTACCATGTGACTGCATTTCTGAATCACCTTAGTCACTTAGTGTTTGTTTTCAACTTCGTTTCGCATTTGCTCTGGAATAGTTGCAGCCTGAGATGACAGTGGGAGACGTCCAAAGAGCAGATACGGACATTAGACAGGTGACAGGCTCCGCCGTTCCAATCCTCACACACACACACACTCTCTCTCTCTCTCTCTCTCTCTCTCTCTCTCTCTCTCTCTCTCTCTCTCTCTCTCTCTCTCTCTCTCTC